CAATCATTACGATCAGGGGCGTAACTAGAAATCACAGGGCCCCATAGCAACTTTTTGTTTGGGGCCCTGAGGGTTTTAGTTACACCCACCTGATATCCCAAACAGCCAACCTGAGAGTGACCATGCAGAGCCCACCATAGACTCTCTATGGTGGGCTCTGCAGGGTCTCAGATGGGCTGGTCAAACCCTCTTACCTGTCAGCCCCAATCCGCTGTCCGCCTCCTCCTCTTAGACAAGTCGCTGGCGAGCCCCACCTCTTTCGTCGCCGGGCCCCGCCTCCTCCTTTGCTGCCGATGCCAGGCCCAGCCTCCTCCTCCTCTGATGCTGGCTGTCATTGAGGCAGGAGCGGCTGTGAGGAGGGACGTGCCACTGCACAGATCAGTGACAGGTTGTCAGTGATCTGGACAGCGGCGTGTTCCTCCTCACAGCTGCCAGTGACAGTCAGCAGCCTGATATGCCATAGACGGCATATAGACATATCCCAGACGGCCCCCATGGCATCAGGGGGATGTCCTGGTCGGGACCCCCTGTGCCCCGGGCCCCATAGCGGCCGCCTGGGTTGCTATGGCGATTTTTCCGCCGCTAATAACGATATGCCATTTTCGTTACAGTATCTAATGTCATGTTCACAGCTAATAAGGAGCCATTTCTTGGCACAAGAACAGTTCCATGATATTTTAAAAAGAGTTTCCTTAACCCTTATCTGTGAAGGTTCTCATTTATCCAGGTCACAGTATATATAGTAGCAGTAGCAGTCAGATTCAACTGGACCTGTTCTGTATGCTGACGAAGCTTCATTGCTTATCTAAGCCGCTTCTTCAGAACTAAACAAGTGGCCTGAATTGCTGGTTATGTGTTTAGCTGAGGCACTGAGATCTTGAGGAATGCTGAATTAAGTTTGACTTGCATAGAAGAACATTATATCAGAATATAGCATTATAGAGCATTGTGAAGGAAACGTATATGCAGATAGAACTTCCTGTGTATCATAGATAAGTATACACAAGCATAGAGACCAACACTGCACCACAGCACCATCTACAGCCCAAAAGACAATACTACATCTCTGAATGTCAGTAATACAATCAGTATGCTGTTGCATTTCCAACATCAATAAACTACAAAACATTTAACATTTTGGCAAGGAAAAGTTCACTCATCCCTACTTTTGAAAAAAAACAAATTGGTAGATCCAGAGATTCAAGAGGCTGATGTTATAAGTAAATACTTATTCTTTAAAGGTTGAGATTGGGCTTGTCACTCAAGGTTTCCTGTTGATTTTTTAATGCCAGGGGCAGTCTCATGGATCAACAAGGAGACTTGGAAGTTAGGAGGGAAAAATCCAGCTTGACTTTTACAGGAAAGGGTGACATTTGCAGATAAACTCAGCTGCCTATGTCTGGGGGTCTACATGAAGGTATGGCTTATGTTTTTTACCCATCACATGCTTAGCTTAAATTACCCAGGTTCATTTTAAATAGCAGTTGGCCCAATCACTGAAAGTCTACATACTGTGGTATTGTGTGGCAGCACCACGGTAGAACTGGGGGTTGTAGCCACCCAGGACTCTCAGCCAGAGGGACTGAGCAGTTCCAGGAAACCGATTATTTTGCTGGGAAAGAACTGGCTTTGCAGTTCTCTCCAGAAAACCTGGATTTGGCATGGATGTTGCATTTCCAACATCAATAAACTACAAAACATTTAACATTTTGGCAAGGAAAAGTTCACTCATCCCTACTTTTGAAAAAAAACAAATTGGTAGATCCAGAGATTCAAGAGGCTGATGTTATAAGTAAATACTTATTCTTTAAAGGTTGAGATTGGGCTTGTCACTCAAGGTTTCCTGTTGATTTTTTAATGCCAGGGGCAGTCTCATGGATCAACAAGGAGACTTGGAAGTTAGGAGGGAAAAATCCAGCTTGACTTTTACAGGAAAGGGTGACATTTGCAGATAAACTCAGCTGCCTATGTCTGGGGGTCTACATGAAGGTATGGCTTATGTTTTTTACCCATCACATGCTTAGCTTAAATTACCCAGGTTCATTTTAAATAGCAGTTGGCCCAATCACTGAAAGTCTACATACTGTGGTATTGTGTGGCAGCACCACGGTAGAACTGGGGGTTGTAGCCACCCAGGACTCTCAGCCAGAGGGACTGAGCAGTTCCAGGAAACCGATTATTTTGCTGGGAAAGAACTGGCTTTGCAGTTCTCTCCAGAAAACCTGGATTTGGCATGGGATCCTGGAACTGGGAGATTTCAAAGAGAATTGGGAGGGATTAAATCTCCATTCCTGGGTCCATGGTTTAGTAGGGGCCAGCACCTAATGATTGCACACCTGTGCACAGCCCTTGAAATGGTGCTGACTAATGCTCTGGGCTCCAGCTGGGAAGAGGAACATAGGTGGTCAGGAGTCAGGAGGACTCCACCTAGAAGTCAGAGGGGAGCTAGGTGGCTATGTGTGCTGGAGGCACCCACAGGCCAAGCTAAGTTTGGTGCGTGCTGGAGGCACATGAGGAACAGCCTGGGAGGCTGGAAGGCTTGGGGTGGCTGAAAACAGCCACTGAACAGGACAACCTGAGAATGGTGAGATGATCTGTTTCCCAAGCACACTGTATGTTGTACTGCTGAAGAAAACTATTTTATGTTGAACTTCCTTGGTTGTCTGCCTTTGAAGAAATAAAAGACCGTTCTTTTTTCTGTTAAAACGGCTCAGAGACTGATCCTTAAGCGCTCACCATTTGTGCTAACTCCCCCAAACTTTACAATACACAGATGGACATAGGGTGTATCCTCAATTCAAAAGAGACCTGGACACTCACCGGGTGGCCATGTATGTGAATCTATGATGGGAAATAAGAAATGGTCTGCCTGATTAGAAGATACATGTTCATTTGAAATAGCATTTGGCCCAATCACTGAAAGTCTATGTACACAGATGGACAGGTTTCTCCGAGGGTGTACTTTCAACGCAAAGGGAATATGGACACTCAAAGGGTGGCCATGTATATTAATCTATGATGGGAAATAAGATATGGTCTGCCTGGTTAGGAGATAAAGGTTAATTTCAAATAGCAGTTGGCTCAGTCGTTGAATGTCTATGTACCTGTAAGGTCATGCTTCTCCGAGGGTGTACCCTCAACGCAAAAGGTCTATGGACACTCACTGGGTGGGCTTGTATATGACTCTCTGATGGGAATTAATATATGGTCTGCCTAATTAGAAGATAAAGGTTAATTTTAAATAGCAGTTGGCCCAGTTGCTAATTGTCTTTGTAACCTGGATGGACATACTTCTCCAAAGGTGTACCCTCAATGCAATGGGTCTATGGACACTCACTAGGTGGGTGTGTGTTTGACTCTATGATGGGAAAAAAAAGATATGGTTTACCTGATTAGAAGGTAAAGGTTAATTTTAAATAGCAGTTGGCCCAATTGCTGAAAGCCAGTGTATCTAGATGGACATGTACCTCCTAGGGTGTACCCTCAAGGCAAAGGGGATATGGACACTCACCGGGTGGGCATGTATATGAATCTATGATGGGAAATAAGATATGGTTTGCCTGATTAGAAGGTAGAATGTTCATTTTAAATAGCAGTTGGCCCCATTGCTGAAAGCCAATGTACCACGATGGCCATGGTGTACCCCCAAAGCAAACAAATAGGGCCACTCACTGGATGGAAGCATATATTGACCCATAACATGATTTAAGATATGGTCTGCCTGATTAGAAGATAAAACAAAGTAACTGTGGACAACTTCTCAGCCTGGTCTGGGCATCTCTTGATGTGTGCCATGAGGGCTGGCGTACCTCTGACTTACTATTGAATGGCAGACCAGCACATCCTACAACTTTTTACATATTTTTAAATCTTTTTTTCCCAGTTCTGTACTAGTTCTTGAAGCATTTACCGTCTCCCACTATACATTGTTCAGATATTGCATGCAGCCATATAGACACATTGAATTGCCGGATGTGCAAGAACATTCCATAGATAGCTAAAGACATGTATTATTATTTTTCCAAGTATTCCTGTTTATGCTGGAAAATGATCATGCAAACCATTAAAGCCGATCGGACAATGCCTGCGTATCCAACAGTCCTTTGTTTTTATGCCTTTGGACTTACCAATCACATTGCAATGTTTATTTTCCGGATCCAAGCTAAACACACAGCATTAGCTCCGATTAACGTTATGGAGACATTCAAAGTCAACAGTTTAGCGGTTGCTAGTTACTAGGTGGTTGACACAGAGCGTAATTCAATCAAAGCACAGCTAATAGGTATAGTGTTGCCAGTCTTGACTCAGAATAAAAGTGGCTTCTTTTATGTATTTGTCCTTCTTATCTACTGACCCATAAGTCAGGGCTGATTGAATGAGAGTGCTATTGAAACTGTATTTCCAGACCAGATTGTGTAGTGCTTGTGATGTTTATTTAACTCCATCTGAACTCCATCTTCAGTCTTGCATAGTTGTACCGGCTCCTCTCCTGGACTGTAATTGCTTCCCCTGATTTCACTGCACACTAGTGCAGCCTCCTCAACTAAGAACTGGAAATCTGCAATAGGTTAAATATTTGGTTTTGGGTGTAGATACACTTTAACTGCCCACAGTATGCCACAACTGTAAATCACACAAAGCCCAAGCAGTGTACAGGGCTGACAGTCAGGTCTGCAATGCTTTGCAGTTTCTGCTGTGTATTGTTATAGAGAGTTGCCAGGCTCAGTGTGGTAGGTTATAAATTACTTCCTTGCTTTCACCTCCTGCAAGGTATGCAATAGCTCTCAATTTAATCCTTTCATTGCCAGGTTTTTATCTTACAAGCCTTTCCTAATTTCAGGTTTCAGATTCAACTGAGAAGTAACCTTGGTAACATAACAGTACAAATAGCTTGAAGAGCTTTAGATGCTAAAACATTGCCGATGGAGCAAGCTGGAGATACAATCTAGTAGAGGAGAGACATCATTTTACCTTTGCCTTCAGTGATAGACTATACTGTTACCACAACAAAATCTTGATGAACTCTTTTTTTCCCTTGCAGAGTGTGACGGTGACAAAACCTTTATCAGACATGAAAGATAAACCAGATTGGAAAATGCAGAGTTTTCATGATCTGCAATGGACGGGAGTCCGGAGACCCCAGACGGCGGTATGGAGGATCCCCAAAAAGGATGCCCGGAAAGAAAAGTACAGCAAGTCAGCCAAGGAGCCTGTCTGTTCCTATGAAATTCAGGTATTGTGTATATATATATACAGTATACATATCTTGCAGCATTGAGGCCTCTGTGCCAAACCAGAGATTTTGAAGATTTTGGTGCAAATGTTTTTTTGAATGCGTGAAAAAAAAAACCATGCTTTACTACCAGGCCGCAAAGACCCTTAGGCCCCTTTCACCCGGGCTGATAAAGAGCCCACGCACACCCATCTATTTACACACAACTGCCCTTAGACTTATATTGGGCATCTGAAAAACTGACAGGTGGACCCGATTTGACTGGCCATGTGAAAGGGGCCTTAAGGATAAGTCCACCCAAGTAATTTCTGCTGCTAGGTTGCGTTACTCAGTGGCATTTTATATCTTATAGCTGCAAGATTTCTTCATTTGAATTTCTACCTCTACCTTCCTGGCCAAGTCATTTTGAGGAAGTCTTAGCCAACTTGTTTTCATTTATTTGATCTAATAGAGACATTTTGTTTCCTGCAGTCTCCAGGACTTTCATCTAGCCTGGCGTTTTCTTTTGAAAGCAACATTTCTTCTCAAGTCATCGACTTGCACACATCCAATGGACCACACCATGGATACTGTAGGAGTGGCAGCTTTACGCTCCCGATGGGTAATGGTTTTCAGATTATTAAAGCTACTTACTGGCTGAAGCTGTCAGGTAGAAAATGCTGCACTCCAGAACATCTGTCTGCCTTTCTGATGGCCTGAGTTTGTGTTGGGGCTGATCTGAGGTATGAAGTTTATGCATTGGGGCTGAACTAAGGTCTGAAATGCATGCGTTGGGGCTGGTTTGAGGTCTAAAGTGCATGCATTGGGGTTGGTTTGTGGTATCCATTGGGGAAGAACTGAAGTCTAAAGTGCATGCATTGGGGCTCATCTGTCTAAAGTGCATGCATTGGGGACCATACCCAATGGATTGAATTCATTGGGTATGGTCTGAGATCTGAATTGCATGCAATGGGGCTGGTCTGACGTCTGACGTGCAGGCATTGAGGCTTAACATGTTTTGTGTGTGCACCAGTTAATCAGGCTTTGCACTCTTGTACTGCTAATGGCAAGTTAAGCTCTTTAAATAGTATATAATAATAACAGTGACATTAAAGTCAACACCCCCCCCCACCCCCATCAC